AAATATTTTTAATTTCTTCTCACAAAAATTCCTAGCTGTTATAGGCGGCATATACAGTGCGTCGGGCTCGTGAGTCGGTTTGGATGTGTATGTGAAAATAAAAATCGTTACAGTAATGAGATACTCCTAACGATTTCCTTAAGATTTCGGGAACTTTGGTTTGCAGGGTAGTTACACCAACATGACTCCCGTCATGACTCTGAATGATTCAACTGAAAACGAGTCAACACCTACACAAATGACTCGCGAGTCAGACGCTCCGTGTATGCCGCCTATCTATCTATTGCATGTGAAACCTTTTTCCATACAAAAAAAGCGATTGAATAGCAGGTTTTGGAACGCTCGCCCAACTCAGCAGCACAACCGCTGATTACTGGGCCTTGCAAAAGATAGATCCATGCTTCGAGAAGCAAGAAAATTTGCTCAGAAAGAAAGTTGCAACAATTTTAATTTTATCCAATTTAAATTTTTTTTTTGTATTTCACATGGCACACTTTGATTTAGAAGAAAAAATCAGAACAGTTTTTGACACTTTCGATACCAGAAGCAACAACAAAATACATGCAAATGTTGTTTTTGCTCTAATGCTACTACCTGTTTGATATGCCTTGCATCTATTTGACTATTTTGTATTTATATTTTAAATTGCAAGTGTATGAAAATTACGAGTTTTCAAGCGAAACTGTCCTCGCAGCATATATGTATGTGTGCTCGTCTTCTTAATTTTTGTTTTTCCAAGAGGGTAAGTAATTAGCAATAGTGCCATATTAATTGTATTTTAAAAGTATTTCTGTGCTTTTAAGGTACTCTGTAGTTTGTGCTATTTATTCATTGGAAATCTATGTACTTGCTGCCTTATCGTTTTACATAAGCTCTCAAGTATTTATTTATAAACAGTGCAACTTTTCTCATTAATATATCTTTGTACGCAAGTATGTAGTTCAATGATTAGTGCTGTAATTCGTTCTACTTGATATTTTAAGGTACCGTAGTGAGTAGTGCATCGTAAAAGTTCATTTAATTAGCCTTTGCTTGCATTTTAGTTTAGTGTAGAAAGTAATAATGAAACATATATATGTAAATACACATGTTCACTTTGTTAAGTTTATTTAAGCTTTGCTTGTTTATTGTCAGCTAATTTTTAAAATCTGTTTTTACTTTCAATATGCTTTTTTTTAAATAGGTTAATCACTTAATCGTATTAAATACACACACATTTATGTAAATGAATAAATACATAAATAAATAATATCACAAATTTCTGTTATATTTATCTTTGGTAATTTTAAAAGTAATCGCTGTTTCTTTCAGATGCAATTAAGAGTTTTTGAATTTTTTATCAAATTTATATATGCATACATGTTAAACAAAAAAATAAATAAACAACCAATAAAAAATAAATGAAATAAAAATTTAATTAACAACAAACCGAACAAATATTAAAAAAAGCAAAAATAAAAAAATTGTCAAATATCATTTTCTTGGAACACCCATTATTTGTTTTATTTTACAAAAAGAACTTGTTATTTAGTGTTTAAACCGATTTTAATTTTAATTATTATACAGATTTATTTGTACTTATAAAATTGGTATTTTATTAAGGTCACTGCATATGTACATTAGGGTGGTAAAAAAAGTAAAGTCGGAATTCTAATACTCTCACCCACTATGATTGTTCTAGTTCGAAAAAACATACTCCTATTTTTGTTTTGAAATCAAAAAATATTAGGTTTCCCATGTATATATATATATGTATGGGAACAGATCAATATTTTTCTATAGGAAAACTTTGTTTCTCTTCAGAAGTGTCTCAATAATAAAACACAATGGTTTATTTACCAATTTTTTAATACTAACTATTTTTTTAGATCCTCTAAAACCCGCAAAAAAAATCCCATGGGGGAATCACAAAAAGTGGCTGTTATTAAAAAATGGTAAATAAAAAATGGAATATTATTACTGGAAGTCTTCGAAGAAAAACAAAGTTCTCCGTTCGAAAAATATTGATTTTCAAGAATTCTATACCTTCCACGAAAAATGATTGTTTCCCATATAGAATAGGTATCTGGAAAACTTTGTGCCCTTCGAGCGACCTCTAAATATTATTTTTCGATCTGGAATAATCCAAGGGGGTGAGAGCATTAAAATTCCGACTTTACTTTACCCACATGCACTTTTTAATCATCCTAATGTACATAAGTCTAATAAATAGTTAAACAAAATAAAAATTATTGGAACTATATCTTTGGAGGATTTTAGAACAGGCGGCCTATTTATTAACTCTTCGTTACTCTATGTATATTCTTGTCTTTTCATTTTAATTCATTTTCTTCGAAAAGATATTTTGTACATTCCACTGCGAAAACGTTGCATTTAAAAAAATCTAATAGTTCATTTTCGCCAAAACTGCAATTAAAAGTTTCGGTAATTTCTAACGGTCTTATTCATAACAATTAAAGTAGCTTTGTAAAAGGTTTATAAATTGAAAAATGTATGAAAACGTCAATTTATAAAGCTCTTTAAACCTACTTTATTTTTTATGAATAAGGCCATAAGAGTTTAAACATGAGGTGATCGGCAAGGTTTATTTTTTTGCTTTTTCTTTTTTGCACTCGCTTACTTGTACTTTTTCTATTCTTTCATTTTGACTTACTAATATTATTGGCTTTATAAAAAATGTCCACGCTGCATACAGTTTTGAGCGTACAACTTTCAATACCTTTCTGAGAAACTGGTTTTACATATTGAGTTTAGAGTCGTCTTTTCGCCTGTCGGATTTTAATTTTTCTGTTACTCGCAATGGATGGTGGAGTAGGCAATAAAGCCTATCCTGACACTCATCTTACATACTGGCCTCACAAACTATATACACATTAACGCCTCACTTTGTTTAAAAATGCTTTGTCTTGAAATTCATATTGATTAATTAGCTTTATAATGTGTCAGCTTAAATTCTTCATTTCCTGCGGATTCCCATTTCAAATCCTAATACTCTTCATACAAGGGTATCTCAGTAAGCCCAATAATTGGGCACAGAAAGATATTTTATCGACGGAAAAAGTTTCTCTTGATCTCCATGCAAGGGTGGCTCAATAAGCCCGAGAATGTGTGATTTACGGATAGTTTTACGGCGAAACAAGATTCTTTCAATTTCTGTATACTACATCCAGCATATTTTCAATTTTGCATTTCATTATTGTAGTTAAATCTCTTTCTGCTTTAGGTTTGAGAAAGCAAAAAAAAAACACTGCCGCCTGAATCTGGTGAACATGGCGGATGGTGTAGCCATAATAATAATATAATATATAACAAACATTATATTCGTCGGCTGTCTCTCTTCATTTTCGAGGTAGGTGTGGTTTATAACACGAGTATCCCAAAAAACTGTTGTCGTAATCTTATTAGCCCACAAAAGAACCCTTGAGCGTCAGCGATTAACCCGAATATATTCAATGTGTCGATGGCTGTTTAGTCTTTGATGTGTTATGGCGTATCCGTGTTTCGTTACCGGTAATCCAATCGCATGAAAATCGTTCTGCTTTCAATAACCTGCAAGTGAATATAAATTAAATGATATTTTCTGCTTCACATTTCACAATTGTCTACCGACAGTTAGTAGTTGACGGGAGCTGTTATACCATTCATGCGGCTACGTTGAACTTCCAAAGTGGTCTCGCACTTTCTAACCCTTCCTTGTTCCTGGTAATGATTTTAAAAGACTTTACTGACTCTAAGTAACCTCAGGAAAATTGTTTGTAGAGTAGATGTTGAGTATCTTAAGAGATGGATCGAAAAAAACTATGCCATCTGTTTGAATAATGACGACAATTCTACCGACTTCTAGCTGTTTTTTCGGCAGAAATTAAAAGCTCTATTACTAAGTGTGCTTAGCAAAGATTATGGCATAGCGAATCAGTTTCCATTGGTGTTAGTTTTTTCGATACGAAAAGTTAAAACGTTACCAGACGCATTCCTTCATTAACCACTGCTATACCAGGGACGTAGAAGTTTTGAAATGAAAGCAATGCTCATATGGTTTTAATATTGAAAACGTCTGTATTTAGTTATTTCCCTTTGCTGTTGTCTTTCTCTGCTATAACGTTACTCCACAACTGCCTGGCATTCGGATGTGTATTGAATTAATGATGCTTGGCCGAGTTGGCTCGATTCAGTCCCAAAGCGACTATCTTGAGTTCTTCCTTATGTTGGTTTTTCACGCTGGATGAAGAAATCGAATATAATAGCCATGATGTTGATCTGATCTCAATATCTACACCTGTACTTCTCTATGTGATGGAAATATTCAGCTTTTTGGTTCTTCGAATAGATGAAATTTTAAATACTATTAATTTCAATGGAGGATATAAAATCTCCTACTCCCTCAATTCGTCTGAAGACTTTGTATACAGGTCTATTATTGTCATATGAATGTACCAGGGTGGCCCATATATATCAACAACTAAATTTTATTCAGAGCAATCGTTTAATTTGTTCTAGGCACAAAATAAACACACCCACGAAAATTTCAAAATTTTAAACAAATTTTTAGGGGTCGCTACCAGGTTTTGAAAAAACTTAACTTTTTTAATTGCAATAACTCGGAAAAATTTGTGACTGAAATCTGGTAAATTTCGCATATTATTTAAATATATTCTAATAAATTCATAAAATTAAATTTTTAAAAATTTTTGCGACCTCTAAATTTGTTTGAAAAGTTTTGAAATTTTCGTCGATGTCTTTATTTTGTGCATAGAACAAAATAAATATACAAAATTTATATGTTAATATATTAAGGACGACCCAAATACATGGTGTTGATAATTTTAAGGACCACCCTAGTATACATGTAAGCCTATTTTGAATACCGACGGTTATATACTTCAAAGTAATACACATTCAGTGCATTTTACGAATAAACTACCATTAATTACCTTAACGGTAACATTGTAGAAATAATCATCTCACCAGATTATAAAATATCAATAGGGATATTTATATTAAAAGTGTCAAGAAATTTTACAATAAGTAAGGTATTTTAGACTATCAAACTAAATGTATATTTTTTGTGAATATAAACTCTATCACTTTCGTTAGTAAATATAGAAAAAAAAACAAACAAAAAATTAAATAAAATTATATAAAACAAAAATTTTTATATAAATTATTTAACTACCTAGCTGCAATTTTTTTAACACAATTTTTAACAAAAAAATGTTCAAACAAACAAACTCCAAGAAGAAATAATATGCAACTTTTTTTAATTTATTGGCATTTTTAACTCAAATTAAATTTTTAATAGAAAAAAACTAGCCTCGCTGTCATAAATTCAACAAATGCCAAAGTTATAAGGTAAAATAGTAATCCGTAAACAGTTCGAAATAAATAGCACTCCATTTGCTCCTACGTGTCCGTGTGTGACTTTCACCCTGATCAACTTCAAACATACAGACTCTCACTTTTAAATATTTAATATATAAAAATTTCAAGTTCCATTAGCAAGTACTGAGAGTTGTTTTTTGCCTTCAGCATTTCATCAGGGGCAGAGTTACTTACTGCTTTGGGGGGTCACCGCACCACACTGGAGCTCGAGTTGCGCCGCTGCTGCTTCATTGCCAGCCAAACACATTGCTACTGTACCTTATACTTTTGCAAAATGCGAGTTCAAGCATGCGCACACCTAGCGTTCCGCATTCGCCAGCGAACGACGGCGATCGCAAGTGGCGACTTAAATAAAAAACAGTTCCAAATTTTTGAAAATTTCATTTTTTTAAGGGAACTATTTTTTTAGCTATATTTTTTAAAGCATATTTTTTCTTAAGTTTTTTTTTAGTTTGAACACACATATGTAGTTGTTGTTTTAAAAATTTACATAATAGTATATGCCTAAATTTGCTGGTGTGTGTATTAATTAATAATTTTTTTTGTCTCTAAGTGTTTTGCTTTTCTAAATTTAAGAGTTTTTTGAATATTGCTCTAGTTAGTATTTTACTTGTGAATATTTTTTATAAAAAAATATATATATTTCTACTTTATATTTATGTATTTCTATATATTGCCTCTACTTTGTATATCCCTCACATATCGTTTTATGGCAAATGACCCGCCCACTTTTCGCCGATCGACAGGCCGATCAAACATTGTCACTTAATAACTACCCTCCTTGTGATGGACTTTCGCTCACCCCCCTACCCCCTTCAATTATTACTAACACTGCTCCCACTTAACGCAAACACTGGTCCTCGAATTCTGCCAACAGGCTAGTCGAATTGAAGAACGCGCGCTCCTTGTCATCGGGTATGTATAAATCTGTGCGATCGTAGCAAGTCGCAGTCGCACCTATGTTCACGAAGTACTTCACTCGCTCCTTCGAATTGCAGTCATCGCCCCAGACCAGCGAAATTTGGCCCAGCTTGCGCGCTTTTCGCAGCAATTCGGCGCCCTCTTCGCTCAGCAAATCCTCAGCGTGTGGCGCTGTGCCAGCCAATTCGAAGGCTTGCGCATTATTGATAGCCTGTTCGACAGTACGCGTGCGCAAATCCATAAAGGGTGACCATTTCTTCGTCTGACCTTGGGTCAAGAACATCACAGGGAAAAGGTTTTGCTTGAAGCGCAGCATGGTGCATATGTCCGCATCGAAGCTGGAGAAGAGCAACGGACGGCCGCAGCCATGATTGATGACGGTCGCCAGTACGCGATCGGTGAAGAAATTCTTATCGATTGTCTGGTGCGCTTCAGGCGCGCCACTAGCACGGCGCTGTGGCCACTTTATCTCCACGTCGATGCCCAGGGACTTGGGCAGTCCCTCAAGTACATCGACTAGCGTAGGGAAGATGCGATGCTCCACACGTGGCTCGGCGTTGTGTGACGGAAACTCGACTGGCTTGCCATTGATGATGGCGAACACGCGCAATTGCTTCAACTTTTCGTAATCCACATCCTTGATCAGCACATACTCCAGTTGTTCTGGCTTGGTGATTTCCTTGCCCTTCCGCGCTGTGCGCATACCAAAGTCATGATAGATCACCGGCACGCCATCGGCTGTCAAGTGCACATCCAACTCGATCATGTCAGCGAATTTTTCGTAGGCGCGCATAAAGGAAGCGATTGTGTTCTCACGTTCGGCGGGCGGATCTGCAATGTAGCTGCGTCCATTTCCACGGTGGCCAACATTCAGATTGGGCCAGCTCTTGGGCCAGTAATGCGCATATGTGGTGCGGAAGTCAAGTGTCTTGTCGGCAAATGGCTTGACGATCAGGTACGGTAGCGTTAGACGCGATATGATGGTGGTGGCTTCGGGTACCGGCTCGGTAATAGACAACTCCAGAACACCCTCGCTACCAGCGAGCTGCTCGGCTGTAATTACCGCCTTGCCGACTGGTCGCTGATCGGGTGTGTGGAAAAGCAACGCAAAGGCGGTCTGCAATGGACAAGGCGCTGTGATGTGGAATACAACAACGTCGCCGCGCTCATATGCAATACCGAAAGCCTGCTGTGCCTGCAAGTGACTCTCACCATACTTCAACTTGGCCACCTCTACATGTACGCCCGCCTCAGTTGGCTCGCTCTCTTCATTTAGGGGCAAAATCTTCACATACACCTCATCGGCTGGATCGAATTTCTCAATATCAAGCACCTGGAACATTTGCTCGCGTTCGAACTTCAGCTGCACTATGCACTCATTGGTCAACCAGCCACGATTCACTTGCGTCTCGCCGCTGCCATCTGCATCACCAAAACGATCGACGCGCGTCTCGGCCGCAGCCAACTCGCCAGTAGGCTTGAGCACACGCGGCTGCAGGCGTGTCTCCCAGCGGCGTATCTGCTTGCGTCCTTGCTTGTCCTCAGTGTAGATAAAGTAGCGGTAGCTGATGTTGCGGCAAGTCTGCAGTAACACATTGGCCTCCCACTTGCGGCCGCCCTGTTGTGGCTGCAATGCAATAGCACGCTCCAAACGCCATTCACCCAAAGCTTTCACATCACCTGTCAGGCCGACGCGTTCGTTAGGACCCAGGTCAGTGTGCAACTCGACGGCGAATTGCTGCAGCGTAGGCGTGCATGGTGAAGTTGTCGTTGATGGCGCGGCCGTATCCAAAACCAAAATTTCGTTCATAATCGATGCGGCGTCTACGTACGAAGCGCACTGCAGGTAGAAGAGCAAAAGAAAAGGACGAAAATGTTTTAGTACTTTTGAAGGTAGCATTTTTCAGATTTCAAATAAGTAATTATTTATAAAAAAAAAAACTATTTTAGTAAATCTAAGAGCGATCTTATTCTTGTGCTTGTCAAAGCTTGAATGCAGTTGCGGTTGATTGAAACTTTAACTTATTCCAGACTTGGCGTACAACAGCGTAATTTTTTCTGCAAATAAGCAGGTATTACTGATTACATTTCCCAACAACAATTTGTAACATATTTTCTAGCTACTGATAGCGATATGTATGCGGCTAGAATTAATTAGTCGCCGACAGCTTAACGCTTAGTTAGTGAAGGAAGGGAAGGGGAGTCAGCAGAGTTTGAAAGTCAACCGCGCTCGTCTAAGTTCACGTGCGTCAGCCGAGCCTTCGCCACATAAACAAAAACAAAAGGCGGATCTGCGTAGATAAGACACATATTTAACTAATACGCTGCTTCCTTCAGCCTTTAATTACTAAACGTGACTTTTGAGCTCGAAAGTATTGTTTTGAA